GGAAGCTCTGCCCTACGCTCCAGCCGCAGAGCGTTTTTTCTAACACCCCACCTGAATCCCACACGGATCAAGGGATCCTTTGGCAGGGTGTCCTCAGGTAGCTCCGGTATAGAAACGGCAGGAGCTTTTCTTCCCGCCTTCGGGGCGTCCCTTGGATACCCAGCGTGTCTCCCCAGATCGCGCCGCGGAAATGCCTAGTGTGCGGCTTCGCTTCCCTGTGGGTCGGGGAATTACTCCTTCCCTTCACCCGGAGAAGTCCTTGGCCACGCACTGAGAAAAACGCTTTGAAGAGCCAAACGAAAAGTAATACTTTTCTAGCGCAGTTGCCCAATTCACAGTTTGGAGAAGGCTCCTAACTTCCAGGGTACCGTCAAAATGTTATTTTAGCTGAAACGATGATTGCCCCGGGTCGGAAAGTTTGAGGATGGCAGGAACATCCTGTAGCCTCTGTCCCAAGACGGTAACAAACTCTAACAAGAGAGCCTGTCCTAGTGCTGAGTGGCTTGCCCTTCTTTCGATTTCCTAATTGCAAATCCCGAAACACGGATTGTAACCCTACAAGGGGGCTTACACATACCTATATAAAAACTGTCCTGAAACGAGCCCTAACTTTCCGAAAGACGAAGCAGATTTACTCTTTGAGGCACTCACGACGACGTTTTTCACTACCGAACAGTGTTTCCCGTGTTTCTGGGTGGCAACCTGGTTCATCCAGATACGGTTTCACAGTATCCCCCAGCTCTCCACTACTCTGGGGATTCTTTCTTGACCCGGATCCCCCCCCCCCCCAAAAAAAAAAAACCAAAACCAAAACAACAACCCAACCAAAAGTCACTTCGTCAGCTTTCAGTATTTAAATTGGAGTTACAATTGGGAACTCGCATCAAACACAAACGTATTTGTTGGATCAGCTTGGCATTCGTCGAAGCTTATTTTAAAGCCGACGATTTTATCGTTTAATCCACCAGCAGATCGCTTTAAAGGTGGAAACGAAAAGAATAAAACCTTCCTTTTAGATAAAGGGCTGACGCCCATTAACTTGTCTTCCGAGAGATTTGCAAACGTCCTGCAAATATGCGGATGCAACAGGCTCCGCCGAGCCTCTCCTGCCCAGCCCGGGGATAAGGCACATTTTCACTCACTGGCCTGGAGAGAAGCCAAAACAGCTCCAGAGTCAAACCGAGAGCTTCCTACATCGTTCAAACGAACAGGGATTTGTTGGGGAGGCCCCGGCCAGGAAGGGCTCTCCGGTGGGGAGGAATACCGGTATCCAACACAGCTGTGAGCCCGTGCCGGACAGGTCATTTCGAAGGAAACTTTTAAAACTGCACCGTTGTAGTATGAATTACCTGCGACTCTGGCCCAGAAAGCCACTTCCCTGCGGGAGAGCATCTTTCCCGCAAGTGCTAAGACACTCGTAGGATGGGCTGGTTCCCGACCACAGCCACTTTGCCGCGCCTAGGAGTATTGGACCGCCTACGGCCAGCGCCTCGGGCCGGCTCCAGGCGCTGCCGGTAGCGTGAAGCCCGGGGAGCCAGCGCCGGGCTCAGTGGCAGGAGCTGGCACTGCGAAGCGCTGCCTGCGGAGAGAGTGACTTGTCGGTCCCAGACACAACCTCCTCTCTCCTGACATTCCGCCGCCGACAAACATAGATAAGAAGAGCCCCTCCTCGTTTACCTGCATTTACTGAGGTCTGTAACGGCCGCCGGTTCCGTTCCCACAGGGGAGGACAAGGACGGGCACGGCGCGGTGCCTGTCAGGCAGCACCAAGGGGGAAATAACCGGCCCTAAACGCAACTGTGCCAGCCAGCAGCCCCCCCCCCCCCCCCCCCCCACCCCCCTCCAGGCGGCTGATTTGGCTCCGACGGCGGCTTCCCAAGGACAGAGAGGTGGGTTTGCACAGGCCCCCCAAAGTTCGAGCTGCTTCTGCCTTAGGAATACGTGGTGGTTCTCATACAAATGCGTCCCCCTCCCTTTGTCAAACCCGGGCACGACTTCCCCCACCCCCCGCTTTTTAACATCTCTGGCTGTTTTTCAAGGTACCTCAACATTCACTTTGTACTGTTTCCCAGTTTCCAGGGCGGAGGGTGAGTTAAACTGTAATAAGATCTAGAAATACTTGGGAACAACTCCCACCTTTGCTCTCCAAATACATAAATTCGTAGACACACACGTTTGAAAGCCCGGTAGCTTTTCTGCTCGGGATTCTGCTAAAAGAATTACTTAGCGATGTATTATGTTAAGTATCGGGTTGCCCTGTAACTTGGAGCGTTTCCTCTGTGTCTGCTGTACTCCCCCGGAGCGTGCGGTCCCCCAGCGCTGTTCAATCGCCATCCTTCATATGGAACCTTGGGTCAGCTACAGGCGCCGAGATTTTCAGGGCTGCCTCTTCTGGGGGGATTTCTCCCCGACGAGAAAAGGTTGTGCCTTCCTCGGCAAGGAGAGCAACAGGGAAATTACCGGGGGGAGCGGCGAGCTGCCAGTCCCAGCATTTGACGGAGACGCGGAAGTGGCGGCCACTGCCCTCAGTCTGGCTTTGTCTCCGTCGTTTAGGACAGGCACTGGGCTGGAAGAGGAGAAGGATGGTGTATGGCAGTTCGTGGCGTGGGCAACCAGCAGAGCTGACGCCTTGCCCCAAGCCCCCACTGCAGCAGGGGGCGAAGGATCTCATCCCCGAAGACGCAGGGAGTCGCGCCACTTGATAAGAGGGGCCGAGAAGCCGGGACGGGTCAGGAGCCGACGGGGAGCAGCCGGCCGCGGCGGGGATAACCTCTGCTAGGCAGGGGAGGCTTCCCTGCCAGGGTGGCTTTGCGAAGGTGAAGGGCTGGGGTAGATTAACCTCGGCAGGGATGTGCCGGGCCGCCTGCCTTCTCTCTGTGAACTTCAGCATCACAGACTGGAAAGGAGGCCGAGGGCTGGGCAACGGGAACGGTGGGTGTGAAGAGCAAGAATTTAATTTAAAGGAAAAAAAAAAAAAGTACTAAAGAAAAGAAAGAAGAAAAGAAACCAAAACCCAAAACCAAACCAAGTCCCACAGATAACCAAAAAAAAAAAAAAGAACAAAGCAAACACTAAAACAAACCACACGCAAAAAAAAAAAAAAAAAAAACACAAACAAACAAAAAACAAAAACCTCACAAGAAAACCGCCTTTCAGCCGCCCGCCAGGACACCCGTACAAACCCAAATCCGGCTCTTCCCGGCCCATACTCTTCTCTTCCCAGCCAGCCAGAAACACCAGATCGTATTAACAGGCCTGAAAGTGGGCGCAAGACAAACAGGTCCAGGGCAGCTACCACGCCAGTGACCCTTTCCTTCCCTCCCTCGCATCAGGGCAGGAGAGGCCGAAGCGACACCACCACCACCGCCGCCACCCGTTTCTGCAAGGCTGCTGCCGGCTGCGGCTCCCTCCGCCTGGGAACGGCCGCGCAGCTCCATGGAAGCACTAATGGTACTTTTGTTTTGGCAAGACCTTTAATGCCACTATTAGCGGTTAGTACAATAGAGGCAGGGTTTCGAGGAGGGAATACTCACGCCGTCGGCTGCGGCTTTATTTATTTATTTAATTAATTAATGAGCCTCTTCCGAGTGAGTATGAAAATGAGATGAAATAGCTGCAATTCTCAGTGATTTTCTTAAAATATACATTCACAGACAGGTTTAAATAGGGACCGAAAACTCTGGATGCTTCTAGTAATTCCTGTTGTCTGCGTCTAGGCGTAAGGAAGAGATCTAAGATCTATCGCTCTGTCATATTATTCAGGTCATTTTGTATAGCGCACATTATCTTTTGTGACACTTATTAATCAGCTTGTTCCCATTCGCTTTAAAGATCCATAAATGTGCAGTTTTACAGTCAGTTTTGGCAACTGCGTCGAGGGTGGGGGCAGGGTCACAATTTAAACCAGTCTGCTTCTGGGCAGAGAATCGCGGGGTTTGAAAGCGATTTATTCTCTCGTCTCTTTCTCTCATTAGCTCATTTTCAGAAAGAAAAAGATCAAACAGAACAACAAACCCAAAGCCAAAGCAAACAAAAACATTAAATACTGACAGTCAAGACAGAAGTCCCGTGGTGTATTTTTGTTCTACAGCAATAAATGCCTTGGCAAAAAGTCAAAACACTAGAGAAGACGATCTTACAGAGCGGGAGCTCGGGGGAGGCTGTAGGTTGCTGTCTCCTGGTCTTTATTTCATGGCTCTGAAGGTCAGACAGACACCGCTTATTTGTGATCTCGGAACAAAAAATTGTGCCTTCTCCGCACCTTGAACGGAGAAAAGAGTAGAAACGGGAACAGAAGTCTTTCTTGCAGCCTAATCGGGCGCCTCCGCGGGGAAAACCTATGAGTTCAGTCCAAAATGTGCATCTTTGTGAAAACCCTGGCCGGAGCCTGTCTGAACCCCCTCACAAGCCCCGTCGAAGCGCTACGACCAGACGCCGCGGTGAGGGTTCCAAACTTTGCCTAAACTATGTGTCAGCTTGCTCTGGAAATAAAGCGGGAGGGGAAGCCATCCACTGGAGTTTTTAAAAACACAGACCTTTCCCTCTCTCTCTTCCCCTCAAGTCTAGACAGAGCTGGAGGCCAGTTTTATAGCTGGACAACGCTCCTGATCATGCTGGCTGCAGTTACTCCGGGCCTAGCACATGCTGGAGGCGTCTCAAGCCTGTCCCCTACCCTGCTACCGCGGGCTGGAAGAAATAAACTCCCTTCAGCCTTAAAGGGGTGATGCTCCGGAGCTGGCTGGGGAGACCCGGAGCGCTGCACAGGCTGCTGGAGCCACTATGTGATGACTCCCGGGGGAGCGGGGCGGCGTGGCTCTCACTGCTTGGGCAGCAGAGGCTGGAGGGTGGCAAGTGGGCTGTTACGTGCCCACCTTTATTTCAAGTCCCAGGACCTTAGACGTGAATCTCCATCTGGTGTCACGTCCTCCCCCCTTCAGGCCCCCCCCCCCCCATCTGCTCCAGCGTGCTCTAAGGGGCGTTTTCCCCAGGTGTTTCTGACCCAGAATTTAAGATGCGGAGCCGGGCAGCCCTCTCAGGTCCCCGCCTCCGCCCCCCTCCCCCCCAAGTAAAGACAACTGAAAACCACCAGCCGGGTATGGGGGGGAAGAACATTCTTCCCCTCATTCCGCAGACAAATCTCGAGGGAAACGGAAACTGGGGTGCTGCAGGACTGTGTGCCGTCGGGCATCAAGCGCCCTACTGCAGCCACCTGTCCAGCTCCCTTCTCTGCCCTTCACCCTCCCAGGCACTAAACGCACGGTTCGGGGACCGGAGGCAGTTATTTCCCCGGCCTGTCATCCCTGGATGCAAAGCTTTGGTTTTAAACGTATTTCCACCCGTACTTAAGACGATGAAAGATCAGGAATTCGCTCTATGCACTTAAACGTTGCTCTTAATAAGCAGAGTGTGCGGAAGCTCACGCCCGGCCTGTTTAAGGAAGACAGACACATAAAACACACCCGAGCTGTGGGTATAAACCTGCTCTCGGGGTCGTCTTGTTGCTCTTGAGGATCAGTAGGGCTGCAAAAGCAGGGACACATCCGGCAGCATCTCGAAACGTGCCACTTTTTTTCCCTCCTAAATCAAAGCCATTGGAGGGCATGCTCCCCAGCCAGGGCCGGCGAGCGGCCCCCGAAATTACGACGCTCTGTTTCTCATTGGGAAATTCCCCGATGGGGGATAATGGCTGGAAGTCGCAGCGGAGCAGCGCGTCGCTCCCCCTTGCTCCGCTAACCGGGCTTACTGCGGGAGCACAAGCCAAAGGAGCCCTGGCTTTCCGTAGCACGGCTAGTACGTGCTCTCGAAATTACTGAATTAGATGGCCACAACGGTAAGCTTCTCTCGATTTGGGAGTGGGGGGTTCCTCCTCCGCTACGCTTATTTTCAAATATATATATATATGTATATATATAAAATTTTATCTGCAGCCTCTTAATAAAGCTCCTTAGAAACCGCGACGGAGAGCAGACTTTGCACTCTGGAATTTGCTAATTCCTTCAACATCCCCCCCTCCCCGTCCGGAGAGGCACAAACAAATGACAAAGGGGGGAGCTGGGCTTTATTTAGCCACCCGTAGACGCTAACCGGCGTTTCATTCACGGCTCAGAGGCGGCACGGGAAGAACGGGGGGCCGACGGCTCCCATGGGGTGCCTGCCAGCCTCTTTCCCTCGTCCGAAACGGCCCGACATTGAGTCCTTTAGGATTGTAGGGTGCGAGGCTAGCTGGGCTGTTTTCTACCAAACACCGGGGAAGAAAGGAAGGAAGCAGAGCGGGGTGTCAGGCCTCCTCTCCCCATGTCTCCAAGAAGAGCGACAGGAACACCCGGCGCACACCGCACCGCACGGTCCCGAGTCCTCATGGTCCCAGCTGGGGAGCAGGGGGGTTCCGGCTCTGCTTGGGGCAGGTTGGGCTCGAACAGGTCTCCCCCCACTCTCCCCGGTCCCGGGAGAAGACGGATGGCCTCCTTGCGAAGCCACCGCGCCTTTTTTTCCCAGCCTGCTTCCCAACCCCCAGAAAACTCCAATCAAAATAATAACACCACCACCCACAGTATGTTTTTCTCCCCGAGGCCGTGCCTGGGCACCGACAGGAGCGCCGTGCCGAGGGGCCTACCCCTGGGGCCGGCCCGGCTGCCTGCCGGGGCAGCAGACACTGGGTACAGCGGAAACGAGCGGAGACCGCTTTCCTCGGGAAAGTCCCCTAGAGAAGATGGAGCTGAACCTGCCGCAAAGGAGGAGCGGGGAGAAGAGAGGGATTAACCGCACAGCTCTGATACCCCCCTCACCCACCTCGCCCCGCTGCCACCCCGGCACAACTGCCAGCTGGGGTCCCCGCATAGCCCTCACCACCGGCCGCGGCTCCCGGAGGCTGGGAGGGGGGAGAGGCTCGTTTTCCCACGTGCGGCTGCAACAAGCTGTTCTCTGCCTTAGGCCTCTCAGGATCAGGGCTGCTCCTTGCAGCCCGCCCGACAGCCCTGTGTCATGCCTTGGCTTTCGGGCAGCGAGCGCAGCGCTGCCGCCTCTGCCCCGACAAGCCGGCTCCCTTCCACTCACGGCGGCTTTTACCTCGCTAGCACCCCTGCAAGCACCCTGCTTCAGATGCTGGCTTGTCTCGGATTATGTGTTCCCCCTCCCCCAGACCCCTTTGGGGCCGCTGGGCTGCCCCATGCCTCCAGTACGGGCCGGGCGGGAGGCGGACAGCCCCTTCCCGAGGAGCCGGGGTGGTTACCTTCGGGGAAGACTGCTCGCATTTTCAGGTAGCTGGTGGTGAGGCGGATAATGGATGCCTTGTCCAGCTGGGAGGTAATGGCCGAGGGCAGAGGCAGGAGTTTGGCCAGTTCGTAGAATTCTCCATTTTCTTTTTCCCGTCTAGTCTTTGCCGCGTTCTTGGATTTTTCCTTCATCGCGACTACTGCAAGGCGAAGATGACACTGGCATATTAGACCCGATTCTTCTGAATTGCAGGGGGCATGGATTTCGGCTTCAGAGTTAGTATTTTCGTTTAAGTAAGAGAAGGAGGGAATTCACCCAAATCAAATGAAATTATAATAGTAAAAAATAAAAGTAAAAAGGGAGGAAAAAAGGGGGAGGGAATAAAAGTCAACCCAACAAAACAAAACCACCAGCAACAGAAATGGTGCGAAGAGGAGGGATGCGATTTCTGAGCCACAACCACGACAGGCAAGGCAAGAGAAGTAAGTTCTGTTCTGACCCTGCGATATCTGCCGCTTGGAAACAGGCTGGAAGACCTACAGGAATCCCGGTCCTCTGCCTGCAGCTGGAATCGGAATCTTCTCCGCAACGGGGAACAAATCACCGGGTTCCCTTCAATAAGGGATTTCTACTCAATCCGGCCTCGTCTAAAAATAATAAAAAAATATATTAAAAATAGAGCATCCACGCAAGAAGTCATTGGGTTAAGCAGGCTGGACCAGTTTTGGACATTTTGTCTCTTGAAAAAAAAAAGAAAAAAAAAGGAAAGGAAAATAATGAAAGACCGAGCTGCTCGTTTAACGCCGTGCCAAACGATATGGTCCCTGAGCGCGCGATGCGAGGAGACGAGCAGGGAGCTGGCGGAGCAGCCCCCCGCTAATCGAAAGTCAAAGCCGGTGCGGAGGGAGCTGGCGGCTGGAGCTCTCCGAAATCACAGGCTCGCATTTTCTTCCGACGCTTCCCTCTCGGCCAGCTCTCGGCGTCTTGCCGCAGAACGACGCTTTCCCCGTCCTCGAGAGGCTGCTTCAGCGGCGCGGCGCGGGGGGCGCCGTGACCCGGGGGGCGGCGGCGGCGGCAGTGGCGGGGCCGGGTGGATGGCTGGGCTGCAGGCGCGGGGGGCTGCTGGCCGCGGGGCTGCTCCTGCCGCTCCGGCCGCTGCGCCCAGCTCCAAGTGTGGTTCTCATGCGGAGTCAAATTAAAGGATCCGTTTTCCTTGGGACCAGTGCCACTTCAGCGTTGTCTCTTTCCAAACAAGTCCGAGCGCTGGCAAAGGCGCGGGATTGATTCTGTTGGATTTATTTATTGTTTGTTTTTTTTTTCTTTTTTTTTTTTTTTTTTTAATTTCCCCTCCTTTTAAAGAAAAAGAATTTGCAAGATCAGGAATTGTTTCTTTTTATTCTTCTTATTTCTCACTCATTTAAATCGTAAAGCGGTGGCTTTTTGCACAGATGTGCCTTTCAAAGGCAGAGGGAGGGTTTGCTACATTCACCTCCCGCAAGCAGCAGCGATCCTCACCATACGGCAAGGATCGAAAGTAAAATTCCCCTCCTCTCGGAAATCCAAGCCGCTGCGCTCCTTGCCTGAAAGCACCGGTATCTCCGGGTTTGGTTTTTTTTTTTTTTTTTTTTTCAGAGGCAGAAGGAGCTCTGAAGTGGACCCCTCTGTTAATTCTTTAGCAAAGGCTGCAGAAAGCCAGGAGAGCCTCAAGAGGGGAGGGGATAATGTGTCCGTGACGTGTCCTCCCGCGCAGCGCCCTCAGAGGGACCCAAATACAGAGGAGCCAGAACAGAGCCGCAATTAGCACTTGCCATGGGACGGAAGGCCGGGGCGGGGGGAGCGGGGGGCGGAGGCCGTTTGACTGCGGCAGCCCCATCCCGCTCCCCCCGACCTCCTTCTGCAGCCGTGAAGAGCCGGCGGAGACCCGCGGTCCCTTCCCCCGTAACCTGCCGTCGCTCACGTAGGCGCTTGGTGCACCGGCCGTGACCTCGCGGCGCCTGGGGGGCCCTGGTATCCCCCCACCAGGCACCCGGCTGCCGTCTGGGGCAGGGACATGCGTGGGGCCGTGACCCGCGTGGGGCCTCCATCACCAGACTCATTGTAACGCCATTAGGTCATTCGAGCACTATCCCCTTTCTGCTCTCACTCTGGGTAGAAGGGGCAAAATGTACCTGAACACATATACCTATGTGTGTGTGTATCATGTATACACATGTATATTCATATTCATATATAGCACACATTTATACTATATATGAACATTATATATATATACTGCATGTATATTACACGCGTGAGTATGCATGTATATATGCATGTACGCAAGTAAGTACATTTACAAACGCACACATACATATATTTACGGGTGCCTCCTCGCACTTCTAAGTGCGGTGAGACGAAAGTGCGGGGCCGAGCTCCGGATCTCCGCTGCTCCGCAGACCCCCTCGCTGGTGCCGTACCGGTCGCCGCTCACCAGCCCCTGATGTGACTCTCCGCTACCCGGGGGGCCGCTGCTGACCAGGGCTTCACCCCGGAGCGGCTCTTCTGGGGAAGATGAAGAAATTCCCTCGAGCGCCCGGGCTTTGCTGCACGGGGCTCACGGGCCTGTAACCGTGGAGGGTGGGGGCACCTCTGCAGGGGTTGCCACAGCGGCCGCCACAACATGAGCGGTGGCCGGGTCACCCCTCCCCGCCCAGAGACAGCGCTAACCCCCGCCCGGCCGGAGCCGTGCCCGACCACGCTTTGACTGGGCTCCTACCCGTTGGGAGCCTTTCGCTCTCCGAGGGTACCGTCGTGATGCTGCAGAGGACACTACGGCCGGGACACGCACGTACATAGACCCACTTCCACGGGGAACCGGACTGACCCATTGCCCCCTGGGGGGAGCTGGGCTGCAGCCGGCGACTGAAGAAGCAGCGTGGAGGAAACCCTCGGTGTGAAGAAAGGGAGGGACGGGACAGAGCTGCGGGCAGAGTCCAGCGGGACTCGGCTCCACAACCGCGGGCACGGGGAGGGCGCGGAGAGGAGGATGGGGTCGCCCGTTTGCAAAACACAATGCACCGGTCCTTAATATTAATCCCCGCGAGAGGTCTGGCTGGCGAGCGAGTGTGTTTGCTTAAGATCGCCCGCCCCTCTGTAATTATCCTATTACACCAGAAAGGACCCGGCCCGCCGTTGTCGAGGGAAAGGCCACGCTCTTTAACCTCCCCGCAGCAGGCGGAGGCCCCGTCTCCGCGAGCGGGACTTGCGTGGCCCCCAGCGCCCTCATCGCTACCCCGGTTCTCCCCTCCCGGGCTGTCTCTCTGGGACGCGCTGCCAGGGGAGGCCGGTTGCCGCACTGCTTCTTGGAGGTGGCGAGCGGGAGGCTGGGACACCTCTCCAAGCATTTGCCGCTTGAAACGTGGGGCAAACAAGGGGGACAGGCGCACCGAGGGGCTCCCGGGCCTCTCCGCCAGGGTTCATGTCCTGGCCCTTCCCAAATTCACCGCTCTCCCAGCGCAGGTACCCGGCACCGCGCGCGTCGTCTGCTGGCGTGTCCGAGGGGGCCGGGAAAAGGATCTCTGTCCTGCCGTCCCGGGTGGGTTTAAGCTAAAGCTGGCTTCCAGGTCAAGGACAGCTTGAGAAAAACGGTTGCACAAGGGAGCCCAGGCGATGTGACCCGGTTTTTACCTTCCTGTACTGTCCTTTTCGCACGCAAAACAGGAGCAGACTCGCAGGGCTCCCGCAAGGTCACCCGTCGCATGGGGACACTTTTGGCTTTGGGGACGGCAGATGTAGGCGGCGATTAAACCTGCCGCAATATTTTTTTCTTGATTTTTTAATTTTTCCTTTTCTATTTCTTTTTCTCCTTTTTTCTTTTTTCCTTTTTTTTTTTTTTTTTCCTGAATTATGCTCCGGCTGGGACTTTTCGCCAAGCAAAACAAACCAAAATTAATCTAGGACAAAAACCCTACCAGTCGAAAAGAAACTGCAGCCTTTCAGGGAAATTCTCAAAAGTCAATACAACCTCCGCCCGTCGCCGAAACTGGACTCATTAGCACAGGTAACAACAAATTTACGGGGGAAAATATTATATAGATATATGCCTGTTGAAAAGTAGCTGTATTTCAAGAAGGTCCTAACGAGTCCGATACACGAAGCTCCGCAATACTTAACTCGAGAAAGAAACTGTAAGGGACGTTTCTGTGTCCTGTAAACAGCATACAGGGACAAAAAATGGGCTCCAAGGCAAGAGAGAGGGGAGCACGTTATGTTCCTAAAAAACGACGGTGATTTGGAGAAAGCACAGGTTTGCGAATGTTTGCAACGTAATTCCGACAGAAAAGGTCCCGGTTGGTGCAAGGGTGGCCCAAACTTATCGAGGTGCATTCGCAATATTCGACTCGGGGAGTCCGAGGTGGCTGCAGGGACCTTCGGGGACGGGCTTCCCTCCGTCCGTTTTAGTAAGAAACTCCCCTCCAGGGAGGAAAAGAAAGGAGGAGGAAAACCCCCACAATTAATTACCTAAATATACATATCATATTTTCGCTGGTAAGCTATTGAATCACACACACACAAAAGCATTGTTACTTAACAACATTTTCCTGTGATTCGAAACGAAGAAACTGCCCCGGGTGGGAACTCGAAAGCGAGTGTTTCTTTCCCAGGTGAGCTGTGTTACAGAAGAATATTTCACCTCTTGTCTTTTCCTTCTTTATTTTTTTTTTCTTTTGCCTCGCTCCTCCCCCAAAGTTTTAAACTAAAAATGGAAAATAAAGACGAAAATATGTGGATGAAACCAGCCTCCAGCACCCCACAAACAAAACTATACCAGCAGCTTCTCCTCTGCTGGTCTCGCAATGCGCCGGGAGCCACCGGGGCTTGCGCAGCGCGGCCGAGCTCTTGCGCGCCCCACGGCTCGCGTGCGTGCATGTCTTTGTGTGTCTGTGTGAGTATTTGTGTATGTCAATGTGTGTGAGGTGTTACGCGGGTCCAGCGGGAGCGCAGCACACGCGTGTCCGGCATTAGGAGGCGAGATGCCGGGGCAGGCGCTGAAGGAGCAGCTCAAAAGGAGGGGGGTTAACGCCTTTTTTCTGGGGAGGGGGAGAGGGTAATCTTGGAGGCAAGTATCTTCCAATTGAGGGAGTGGGTCCTGGCACACGCAGGACCCCCTTGGTACGCGG